AGTTAAGACTTACTGTATGTGTGTGCATGTACGAGTACAGGTGTCTGAAGACACCAAAGGCATCAGTGACCCGAGCCAGAGTTATAGAGGGCTGTGAACCATCCAGTGTGTATGTTGGGAACCAAACACAGGTCCTCTTGCAGTATGTGCTCTTGATCACTGAGTCGTCTCCCCCAGATCCACAACAGGCATTTTGTGTAACCTAATTAAAGAAGTGTGTGGCAGCTGAGTCAGTGTAGGGCCAGACTGCACTGGCGGCAAGACCTCGATGGTGGGGAAGCTGTGTCTGTGCGTGCGTGCACATGTGCACACGTGTGGTGGTGATAGTTAAGGACAAGCCTCTATTTTTGCTCTTGACCTGAATCTGAAATTGCTTTAAAATAACACATATTCAAAAAAATTTAACAGTGTGCTAACATCACTTACAGATAATATAGTACGTTAGGTTTGTTTGTTTCTGGAGACAGGGTTTCTCTGTGTAGCCTGGCTGTCCTGGAACTCACTCTGTAGACCAGGTTGACCTCGGACTCAGATCCGTCTGCCTCTGCATCCCAAGTGTTGGGATTAAAGGCGTGCGCCACCACATCCAGCTCAGTACACTGGTTTTTATTAAGGGCCAAGACACGCGATAATAAGTAAGTATTCACCCATCCCTAAATGATGGGACACTAATACAGAGTAGTGTGGGTCACTTTCAGCATCCACACAAGTCCCACCTCTCTCAGATGACATTAAAATGCTTAGAAGTCACTCAACCATATAGACACCTCTGTGAAGGACGCCTGGGTGATTTAGATTGGGAAGCATGCCCATCACTGTGGAAAGCGAGCCACACTAAGGTGCCGAGAACGGATTGACAAAAGCTGCAGGTGTGGGCTCAGGGACATTGTCAGGCAGAGACCATGTTGCCCTCATCTAAAACAAAAGCCGAAGACTTGAAACTACCAAAGGAAGGTAGACTCCCGAGAACAGAAATACTGTCTAGAAATGACTCATGGATTTCTACATTCGCGTAGGAACTGCTAACTGCGAGACAGACACACTCATTCAAATTGCCCTTCAGTATCAAGGCTGTTATTTGTTGAACTTCAGTTGCATGAGGCCGACTAAAATGTCACCCCTCTCCCACCCCTGGCACTGTTGTCATTAGTAGCAGTTGTCTGCATCACTGGAACAGGCGGGCTTCACACTGCTCTAATTCACCAGCTCAGCTTCGACTTCTATTTGACAGCTTTGTAAAAATGAAACATCTGCCTTCATCTTAACGAAGAGCAGGTGATCCTCGACTACAGACAGAACATTGTACTATACCAGTCTTGGGGAGGGGGAATCATCTGAATAAGAGTCACTTTCCCCAATAGGCTTGTAAAGCCAAGGCTGGTTTCAGTGTCCCCAAGAGAGGCAGTGGCAATGACAACTGATCCAAGTTGAAGAAAAATGCTGCATTTAAGGATTGTTTGGTTTTTTTTTTTTTGAGACAGGGTTTCTTTGTAGCCCTGACTGTTCTGGAACTCGCTTTGTAGATCATGTTGGTCTTGAACTCACAGAGATCTGCCTGCCTCTGTCTCCCAAGTATTGGGATTAAAGGTGTGTACCTGGCACATTTAAGGATTTTAACACCAGAAATTATGAACTCAAGTTAAATCCCTACAGAGTAGAACACACAGAATCATGGCATGCTCAAGGATGTTGAACTGAAACACAAAACACCAGGCTAGCATTCTCTAACTCTCCTTGAGACAGTATAGTGTCTTGTGCTGTGGCTGCCCCAGGCTGTCAAAAGTCCTCTTCAAATCATGAGATAGGGTTGATTTATTTGTGGCTCATGGACAAGAACAAACAGAACATGTTGTGGGACATTTGGACCATTGTTGGACAGTCTGGCCTAGCAAGCCACATTTGGTCCTTGGACAGGACTTTTCCTCACTGAGAACAATGGTCACTACCAGTAAGCCAGTAAGGAGTAGACAGCTGAGGCCGTTTACTTTCTAAAATAAGTAGCAAACGCCAGCGGTTATGGTGTATAAACCAGTTTCCTAAAACGAACCAATTAATAAATGAAGGACTGGGAGATCTCCCAGCTCTGCCTGTCTCCCCAATCACATGGAGGAAATTTCTGGATAGGAATCATTGACAAGTCAGACAAAATCAGCAGAGCCAATTGAATCCTGGGAGTCTCGTGGGGAGTGACAGAGATAGCCTTTCTCTGGCAGAAGCTCAATCAGTGCAATACCCAGGGCAGAGGCCCAAGACTGCTGTTCTGTCCCCAACCATGGGAATCCCCACATGAAGAAGTGAAGAAAGGAAAGCTAGAAATCCACTCTGTCCTTTATTCTACCCAGGAGTCATCCGCTGACTCTTTGGCAGGCTGAGGTAAGGGCGCTGCTCTCCAGGTGGGTGGTGTTGCGGGCAGCTCTGGCTGAGGTGTGACAGAGACTCCGGCACTGAGGGGAACAGCACTGGGAAGCCAGGATGCTGACAGATCAGGGCCCCAGTGGCCTCAGAAGGCTTGCTTGTTCTGGGTGATCTGAGGTAACAGGCATTTCCACGCGGCCTGCACGTCCACTGATGGCTACCCAGGCTGCTGGTGGAGGTGTCGGTGCTGGCCCTTCTGAAGTCCTTTCCCTTTTTCTGCTGTGGCTTAAGTTATGACTAGAAATGAGGAAAGGAGGCTATGTCCCTTCTTCGGAGGTGGGTTATGGGGGCTTAAGTGATGAGATGGAGGAACAGAGAGGGGTGAGAGATGTAGAGCAAGGCTACCAGCCCAAAGGAGGCCGGGAGCTGCTGTGCAACTGGGCCTGAGACACCTAGCAGACCTGTGAGTGGGAGGCTGAGAAGCTCTGGCCAGTGCCCTGAAGATGGGAGAAGTGAAGCAGAGGCACCTGGCCCCTCATCTAGGAGACAGAACTCAGGCACCAGGTGAAGAGAGAGCCGCCTTCTCTACCCTCCAGAAGTCTCTGATAGCTTGCCACGACAGAAACCAGTGGTCGGGCAAGCAGGGTCTATTGCTGGGATATCATGGCGAGTGCCCAGTCCAAGAAAGCTACTGTGACATCCTGTAGGCAGAGCCATATCCATCGGGCAGCTTCACTGAACTGTGTCTTAATGCAGTCCCAGGTCACTTCTCCTCTATGAGAAAAGCAGAACATTTGAGAGGGCTGGGTGTCACGTGTGGGAGTGTGTCACTTCACAGGGTACAGCTTGAACCCATAATTTTCATCCCAGAGTGCTGTAACAAAAATGAATGATGTACCCTTGTCCCCAGGGTCAGAAGTGGGTTTCCAGGAACCTGTAGAGTCTGGAGTAGAGGTCTTACCTGCAGGCTTCATGGCAGTACTCCTGGGCTTGGGCCAGGGCCACAAGCAGCAGGTGCCACATGGGCAGCAGCACACTGTGGTGGAAGAGCAGCAGCAGCTCCTTCAAGGAGTGGAAGAGCTGGCGCAGGGCCTCAGGGAGCTGGACCTGCAGACGACCATGGACAGTGGTTGGAACAAGATATCCAGGGCAACGAGATTCTGCCCGTGCTGGATTGCTCCCTCCCAAGAACTCTGTCTCTGGGGGGATGGGTCTTTTTCTGACTCCTGATCTCCAGCTTACTTACCCTCTGCAAGAAGTCACTGAAGCTGTCACCAAAACAGGCAAGGTAGGAGGCACAGTGGGCAGAAAGGAAGCTGACTGTGGCATTGGTGTATGTCCAGGCCAGTTGCAAACCGGGTTGTACCACAGCAATCAGGTGGGAGCTATATACTGGCAATGTTTCCTGCAGCCAACTGTGGAGAAATTGGAGGACAGAGGCATACTCTGAGCTTCCCCAGGCCAACTTGCTCACCAAAGGAAGGACAAAAAAGGGAGGACACGAATAGTTTTAAGTACTTCCCACTGTCTATGCCTGCCCTGAGCACCGGCACCACCCTGCCTTCCTTGGTAGGAGCTCACTTGTAGCTTTGCAGGCTGGAGGAGTAGAGCTTGGCACACACTTGCTGGCCAACAGGCAAGAAACCAGAGGATCGAAGCAACCGGCCAGTGAGGGAGGCTGCAAAGGGAGCCTCTGGTGAGCTGGGAGAGCAGGGGCAGGGCTTGGAAGACAGACATTCCAGGTCCTGGGGCAGGCACAGGGAGGCAGTGGGACAGTTTCATGTGCTCTCGGGTCTAATTACCAGGTTTGGAGGGAGATTTGCAGGCCAGATTTGAATAACTTCTACTGGGTCAAGAATAGGAAGAATGGGACATTGGTAGAGTTTTGGACTGAGAGGTCAGAAGATTTCAGGCTTGAGTATCTGCCTTTTACTAGGCTGTGATCTTTCTTTCTTTTTAAAATTACCTTTAGTGATTTATTTAGTGCACACATATGGATATGGCACAGGATGTACACGAGGTCAGGATTTGTGCTGACTTCCACCATGTGTACCATGGGGATGGAACTCAGACTGTCATATGTGGTAGCAAGTACGAGTGACCACTTAGTTATCTTTCTGTTCCTACTAGCTATGATCTTAATCTGAGACTAAATCTTTCTTCTTCTCATGAGTTAAAAGGAGAAAACGTGTTTAGGAGCTGTAGATTTGTGAACATGTCTCTCCTGCAGAGTATCGTTCAACCTGAAGGGAATATCCAACCTGCATAGAACACCGAGGTCAAAGTTCTTGTATTGTGGCACCAAGAACTCATCAGGACAAGGTGGGCTCTGGAGATGCGACACATAGCTCTGTGACCCACCACCATGTTCTCTTCCTAGACGACCAACCACTACTTACCCTGGAAGGAGCTGTGTGACCGAAAATCATGGCATAGGAATCCTATTGCAAAGACCAGAAGCAACAGGAAGAGCCGGGTCCAGGGTGGCCGAGGACCCCGTGCCTGTTGCAACAAGCCCTGGCAGCAGAGAGAGGACAGTGGTCAGAGGTAGAAGGCCTGGTTTCTGCTTCCAAGTGCAAGCCCCAAGCTAGGCCTATACAGAAAATTGAGGTAGAGGGGGATCCACAGACAGGTGGGACGGGAATGTAACCCAAGCCCAACCCAGGGTGTGTCAAGACAGATGCAGGATTGTATGACTGGAGAGGTTGGGTATCACACCTTGCAAGCTGTATCACAGCTGACAACATGTTCGTTGCTGCTACTGCTCTTCTTTAGAAGTTCCTGGTTGGCAAGCCTGAAGGACTGAACGGTCTCTTGCAAAGACTTCCGAGCCTACAGAATACCAAGAGATGAGATCAGAGTGTGAGTCTTGGCCTGGAACAGCATCTTGTGCCTCAACCTTGCTTAATGCTCAGTGTCAAAGGCACAGAAAAAGGAGGGCAGAGGTCAAGGGGCACCAACCGAGAACCCAGACAACCCTGGTCTCCCACATCCTCTCAGCTCCTCACCTTCTTGGGAATCCGTTCCCAGGACTTAAGCAAGTGTTCCAGCAGCAAGCTGTGGAGGAGCAAGCTCCCATCAGTCAGCAGCCCACTGGGCCTGCCTCCCTCTTTGTCACCAAGACCTTGGGTTCTGAGTCCCAAAAGACCCCACCCACAGTAGTTCTTGAAGGCCACCCAGCTGCGTTCTCACTGAACAGAGAGGCGTTAGCCTGGAGAAGAGTGAGCGGTGATTCTGGTAGGACACGCCAGCCCTCGTCTAGAAGCACACACTAGGAGGTTTATTTGTGTAGAACAGAGCAGGTGACCCCACCCCCACCTGCCTGGACTGTGACAGGTGCTTGGGGTACAGCTGTCTCCAGACGCTGGTGCTGAGGGGGTCCGTAGTCAGGCACTGGGTCAGGCTGCCCAGGAGCTGCACAGAACAAGAGCGAGGATGATAATAATGAAAAAAGGTGCTGGGGCTTCCGGTAACAACACATCTATCATGAAGGCTGAGAGATCCTGTCATGACCCCTGAGAAGCTGAGACGCTGTCATGGGGTAGGTATAGTTCCTAAGCTGCAGCCTTAGCTTACAGATCTTGTCTACAGTGACAGGCCACCACTGACCACCCTCCCACCTCTCAGGCCCATACTCCCATGGGAAAGCACAAGTGCGGGGGGGGGGCAGGTGGCTGTGAAGTGAGCTGCAGACCAAGGGAACATCCACGGATGAGGCTAACTGCAGCTGCGCTCTGGGCAGGGAAGGACTGCTCACCTCTTTCTTCATTTCAGCAGGACAGTTAGGGGTGGCTCTGGACAGGAACGAAGGGAAGTAGGTGTGCAGGGTAGATTCTGGCTTTGCTCCAAACGCCAGCACCTTCAGTCGGGGGAAGAGCTGGCACAGCTGCTCCTGCAGGCTAGGGAGGAGGGCCAGGCTCAGGCTGTAAATGGAACTATGACACTTGAGCTCATCCCTGGCCTGAAGGGAGAGTCACTCAGTGTCTTGGGATGATTCTGAGTCTTTGCACACAGAAGCACCTTGCAAAGTTTGTCTCCCTAAGTACTGCCCGATGTTACATTAAAAAAAAAAAAATTGTTGCATTCAAAGACATATATAACTTTTGGGCTTCACAGGCCCCTTGAAACCTCCTGTGGAACTTTCCAGTTGTGAATCTAGGGCTTCGGGGGGAAAGGGGATGGAAATGCACTGTGGTGTCTCAACTTTGCACTGGGAACTCTCCCTGTACACATGCTCCAAAGCAGTCCTACCTGGGGGTTAGGGAGTTGTTGGGCATATAGGCAAAGTCTAGGAGTGGGAAGAAGTCCTTGGGGCCAATCATGCCAAAGCCTTTGGTGAGGTTGGGATGCATCCTAGAGAAAGGAGAAGCAGGCTTGTTGAAAAGCACTCTGGTGCTCCAGTCATGAACTTGGCTAAGCCAGTGTCCAGGGAGAAGGGCATAAACTCTACCCCATCCCCATCCCTCAATGGCTCCCTCCCTTTCCTTCCTCACCATCACACTTGGAGGTGGGAGGAGCTGGTCCTGAGTTTCCTCGCATCTATGGAGACCAGGATCACGGCATCCCATTTTGCCGAAACAGCCTCTTGTGGACACCCTGGGCCTTCCCCTCGCTGTCCCCCCATTACTCACAGGAGCAGCCGGTCCAGGTATGCGATGGCAAAGGGAGACAAAGACTTGATGCCCAGCACAGGCAGCATGATCCCCAGCCACACTGTAAAGCCAAAAGCCAGCAAGTCTCAGGCTCTGATGCACAGGGGCATCAGAGAAGAGACCAATCCATCCTTCTCAATCTGTTACCTTTCAGTCCCTCGGTGAGGTTAGCAAAACCTGCTTGCCCTAAGGCCCACATGATGGTCAGGCACTTTGCTGGTCGGCTCTGGTGGGACCTCAGAAGTTCTAGGAACTGCGGAGATGGGTAGAAGGGGCAGGTTATAGGCTAGCAAACCAGCACTAAAGATTCCAGTGGGAAGACAGGTATAGGTGGGAAGGGTGCCAAGAAGAGTGGAACCCTATGGCAGTGTGGCACAGCGAGCCCAGTGATGCTCTTCCCGACTCTCAACGCACTGGCTGACCAGTTCTAGGAAGGCTATGGCACCTCTCTATGGTCCAGCCATTCCATGATATCAACAGAGTATTCCATAATGCCAACCTTATCCAACAGAGACACACAGTAAATGCTAGTGATATTATGTGTTACTCCCTCCCACAAATAAACCTAAGGATGTAGACTCTGTCTAGTTTCCCTAGTTCTACCCCTAGTGTTCCCAGTACCACCCAAGGCTCACCTTGCCCAGGTCTGAAGTGACAATCTTGGGCTTGTCCTTCAGAATGGCCTGAATACAGATGCGGTATCCATGTAGCGACTCCCCTAGAGAGACGTATGCTCTTAGAGCCACTCATATGACTTGGCACCCCACATTTTTTTTTCCCCAGCTGTGAGTCTAAGCCCTATCTCCTCCTCCCTTCTCTCCCAAAAACATCTTAGGAGATTAGGACATTTATTTCTTGTTGGGAAGGGAACTGATGACTACGTCAGCAGCAAGAGAAAAAGGGTAGGCTCTCAAGACAGTCACCTTTCATGGGACATTCCTACCTGGTGTCTTATCCAACTCTTGCAGCATGGTGAACAGACAGTGATCGAAGAAGAGCTCCAGAGACCCTGCAGCTTTGGTCAGCAGCCCTCGGATGATCCCACGCAGCTCTCGGCTCACGAGGCTGTAGGGATAATCTGGGGCCATTGGCCGCTGTGAGAGACAGGACGGGCTGCCCTTGCACCCAGGCTGGCTTTCTCTGCCCCGAGAAGACCCCACCACCTGCACAGTCACGTGTCCGAGTCAGGACAGTGGAGGTATTGGGCCCTCAGGAACATTCACCCTTTCAGAACGTCCTTATCTGAGCTGAGGGGTGGGGGACTAACCATGCGGATACTGGCTCAGGGTGGGCTCGCTCCGGGGACTTTGGAGCTTGTAGTTGAGATAGCTGGCCAGGTCCTTCAGCCACACAGAGGGGTTTCCAGTGAACACGCTCTGGCTCTTGTCCAGTTCCTTCTGCAGAGCTGCCACATCCAGCTGTCAAGGAGAGATTTCTCAGGTGAGTTGTAAGGGCAGGGAAGGCGAACAGGGGCAGGTCGGTGGCTGAAGGAGGCTTGCATACGTGGATGCTACGACTTTGCCACACCTATATCCTAAGTAAGTACGGGGTAGGACAGCTGAGAATGCTGGTCTCAAGGCCATACACCTGTAGGCCCTTCACTTGTTCAAGAGAGAGAACAGAAGGCAGACGGGAATGAAAGACAACAGCTTCTGAGGGACAGAGGACCCAAGCCAGCCTTCCCATCACCTCCATCTTGTTTTTAGGTTTCTAACACTCTTCTTGCCTAAGGTTCTTATGAACATCCTACTTCCTTCCTATTCGACGAGCAAACATTCTGTCCCTTGGCGTTCCATCTTTCCTGGAACTCCTCTCGTCTGACAGTCCTACCTTCCACATCTTCTCTGCACCCTTCGCCTAGACGCACTTACAGCTCTCAGTGCATCCTCCAGGCTTCGGAATGGGCCCTGCTTCTGGTTTTGGCTGTTGACAGCTGCCACCTTCTTTGGCTGCTTCTTGTTTGCTGGCTTCTTAGGCTCCGCAGCAGGGGGAGGAACTTGCTCTTTATTCTGTCCCTTCACAACTTTCACAAAGCCACGCTCATAAAGACTGCTCGTGGTCTGGATTGGCGCTGGAATGATGACAGAAAACAGCAGGAAACCCTTAAGACCCCAGGGATCAAAGCACAGTGGTCCCTTCTCTGCAGGGGCACCTAAGTCATTTACTGTGAGATGCTGTCCCCAGCTCCTCCCTTGGGAGCTTTAGAAGCACAGCAAAGAGCCCTTGTGGTGGCTGATTTCAGTCCCCACCAGCAGGTCCCTGGCTCTTCCAGTTCTTTATCAGATAAATCAAGGCACGTGGGAGTTCAGCCAGTCTCAGGTACAGAGGGTGGGCTTCAAGGGCTCTCTGGCTGCTAGTCTCTGAGGGTGAAATTTTCCCAGCATGGTTCCCACTCCCAGTTCTTGCTCGTTCTGAAATGACAGCTCTACACTCAACAAGTGGCAAGCTTTCTCCCCTCCTCCGGAGACTATGGGGTAGGTGACACAGAGATTAACTTCTGGTCGGAGTGTATTTCGGGTCATTCCTACCAGTGCTGGGCTTCGCATCCACCCCTCCCGGATACACTGGTTACTTTAGAAGGAGCACTGTGTAAGATCCCCGATGCCTCTGTCCAGTCACTCAGACACCTGGCCAACGAGGGCCGGGACAGCTGAAAGGGCTGTGTGCAAAGGCCTGAACAGATGGAGATCGGAATTCCAGTCTCTTCCGACTCGAGAGTCGGTTTCTCTGGGCCTCCGCTTCCTGACCAGGATGGTGGGGATGGCCACCTCTCCCGGCACTTCAGGCGGGGTGGCCGGGGTCCCGCGGATCCGCTCCCGGCTTCCGCAGCTGCTCCGCCGCGCCCCTGCCCCACAGGCCCAGGTGGGCGGCGGCGGGTACTCACAGCTCAGGTCGTATTTCCACACTCCGTTCGCCTCTCCGAGCGCTCGGCGATCACCGCCGCCGCCGCCTCCTCGTCCACCGCCGCTTGCTCCAGGTCGCCGGCCCTTCTTCACCACCTCCCAGCCCCCGGGGCCCGCTGCTTTGGCCGACATGACTTCGGCTTCACCACCTTCTGCCTTTCCAGTCCGCACGGCCTTCCCTGGTGCCACGTCGTCGCTGCCGCCGCCGCAAAGCAGCCTGGGACTCGTAGTCCGTTCGCGCCATCGCGCGGCGCGCCTGGGGAGTGGAGGCGGCAGCCAGACCCCGCCCCTGCGGCGCAAAAATTCCTACTCTGCATCTGCCGCCCGGGCCTGCTTGGAAATGGGACTAGTCCCGTTTTTTCTTGTTCTGTCTTCTCTCCTTCTCTTCATCTTCCTTCTTTGGATTTTTCGAGACAGGCTTTCTCTGTGCAGCTCTGGTTGTCCTGGAACTCGCGCTGTAGCCCAGGCTGGTTTCAAACTAACAAGAGAGATTCACCGAGTGCTGGGGTTAAAGGCAATACGGTTCAACTGTGGGATGAGTGAAGAAGCCCTAGGAGGATGAGGGCAGTGTTTCTGAAACAGGTGGCAGTTGAGATGGCTCCTAGGAAGGGAGAATCTTCATTGGTTGGGGATCACCAATGGAGAGACAACTTCACCTGTATGGCTTTATTAATTTAGACAAAGGTCTAGAGTGGTAAAACTAGAGGTAGTTCAACATGACAAAGATCGGTAAGATTGGAAAAGGATCTTCTTTTTCTTTATCTGTCTATCTATCTGCCTGTCTGTCTGTCTCCATCTGTCTCTCTGTCTGTCTATCTGTCTGTCTGTCTGTCTATCTATCTTTCTCCGTCTGTCTCAGGGAGCTCCAAGATGAAATGTTTTTCAGTTGATCACCAATCTGTTAACTTCTCAGGTCACTGTTCACCTCTACTCAGACACCAAGAATGCTCCTTTTGTTCGATCGCCGATGTCATATGTATGGTCACAGAAGAGTGATGAGAAACACTTGGCTTTCCCGCTACAGCTCCAGGTGATCTAATGCCCTCTCTGGTACCAGACAGCACAGACAGGCATGTGCACATAACCACACACAGATACACACATATACATAAATAAAAATCATAACACATATTTAAAAAAGAGTGTGAATTCTAATTCGAATTCTAGTCTAAGATTTCTACCACCGTAAACAAGCCTCGTTATGTATGGTCTAGGTCAATGGTTCTCAACCTTCCTAAAGCTGTGGTACTTGGATACAGTTCCTCATGTTGTGGCGACCCCCAACATAAAGTTATTTTTGTTGCTACTTCACAATTGTAGCTTTTCTGTTATAAATTATAATGTAAATATATGTGTTTTCTGATGGTCTTTGGTAATGTTAGTATTCAGGCATCTGTACTGATCTGATCTTGGGTATATGTCCTCAGCTGTAGCCACTAAGAGCACCTCCTCTGCACATTCACTACGTTCCCCTTTAAAAGGGCCCTGCCCACCGCCTACCTCTCTCTCTCTCCTTCTGCTCCTGTCCCAGAGGCCAGTCCCCCCCCCCTTTTTCTCATTCACTTTCCCCCAATAAAAAAACCTCTCCACCTGAGCTCTGTTGTATGGTGTCTTTCTCTCTCACACTGCTTTTTTTTTTTAAAAAATTGCAGCAGGCGAGCCCTGTGAAAGGGGTCATGACCCCACAGGTTGAGAACCACTGCTCTCAGAGAGTCCCAAGGGGCTCACATTCACTTCAGAATTCTTGGTCTTTGCTGGGCTTCCAGGGCCTTGGCTACCATGTTCCAGGAGAGTGGGTCCGTGTGGACGGCATGGAATTGTTCCTGAGTCCTTCCTCCCGTTACATCCTGCTCTGCAGAACAACCCGCTCAGGGGCTGGGGCATAAGATGGGTACTTGGGTATTGCTCTGGTTTTTACCCCCAGTATACACACATGCACACACAGACACAAATAATAAAGAAAAAGAGGAACCATGTAGACATGGCTGTCCTCTGGGCCCCAGGATTGTTTACTGCATGGCTGCTGTGAGGTATGAGCACTTTGACAAGCAGTCGAGGGTTATTCCTTAGCCAAGTGTACCCCATCACCCCACAGTCACTCTCTGGGCTGCCCACCTTACAGTCACAGCTGCAGACTTTCTCCTTCCTCCTGAGGGCCCCCTGTTGTGGTGAGAACATTCCAGATCCTAGCTGGAGTAACTGTCTTGCAGCAAGCTACCATTTGGTGAGTCTATGTGCCAGACCACAGCAAGATAGGCCATCCTTGATTTCATTCCTTACTTCAGCTGGACAGTGTTTGCTGGAACTGGCTCAGTTCCTGGCAAGGACAAGGACTGAGTACGCGTAAACACAGTTATTTTATTGTCTAGTTTTGTTTGAGCCTTACGCTGTCTGAGCTTTAGCCACCTTTGGTGTCTTAGCATTAAGCAGTACTCTGAGTCCAGGTTTGCATCAGCTCTGTTCTAGACATAAGAACTGTACAAAACTTATCAGTAGGGTGCTGTGGAGTAATCCTTTTGTACACTGTGGAAGGTGTTTTGCTCTCATTGGTTCTAATAAAGAGCCAAATGTCAAATAGCTAGGCAGAAAGAAGTTAGGTGGGAGAGTCAGTCTGGGAGAAAACTGGGAAGAAGGAGGGCAGAGTCACCAGAAGATGCAGAGAAAACAGATGAATATGCCATGTTGAGAAAAGGTACCACCATGGTAGAGCGTAGATAAGAAATACGGTTTAAGTTGAAAAAGCTAGTTAGTAATAAGCCTAAGCTATTGACTAAGCATCTATAATTAATAATAAGTCTCTGTGTGATTATTTGGGAAACCGGTGGTCAAGATAAAGAGGCTAGGTAAAAATGCCCAAAGCAGCGGAGAACCAAAAACTCCCTAGAGTACGAGGCCAGGCTCTCAGGGAATTGAGGGGGAGAAGACAGCTGGTAGCATGCCATGAGCTAAACTATGTAGTGGTTTAAGGAAGGTTTTGGTCATGCAGACAGAAAAGATTGCAGATATGCAGTACAGACAGATCCAGATGGGAAAAACCTCTAAACGGGCTACAGTTTACAAATGTACAATAGGCTTGGGAGAGAAAAGAGGAAGAATAAAGACAGTCCTAGAAAAAATTAAAAATAATAAATTCTTTAAAGAAACAGTAAAGTAAGTAAAGGAAAAAGGCCTGTAAATATGGAAAAATACAAAGGGAGTCTGGATTCTGTATGTTACTGTGCTGTCTTGAATTTTTTGATTGCTGATGAACAAGTGATGGTTGCTAAGAGACACTGGCTTGTGATGGCTGCTGGATTAATCTAACCTATGTATTTTTAAAATGTCCTGACTTCAAAATGGAGATCTAAAGGTGTGTTGCTTTGTGGAAGGGGTTATGCTTTTGTTCCCATAGAAAATGAAAGGCTATGGATTTGTTCAGGGTTAAAGATCATGTTTGATGGAGGAAGACCTCCTGAAAATCTTGGCTACAGACATAAAGAAATAAACCTAGAAAAACTATGACATAACATATATTTTACTTACTCAAACATAAAAGAAAAATTATCTTTGGCTAACTTGTGTATAAAACACAGTCTATACTTGTATTAATGCAGATATATATGTTCCCTTTGAAAATTTATGTATTTTCAGAGCAAGGGAACCAGATACCAATAAAAATGAATGGTTCAGGTGAACCAGCATCTCAGAATGCCTCTGTTGTAATTTCTTCAGAGTTATGCATCCAGAACAACTTCAAGGCTGCTGGCTGAGATGGTCTACCCTTATAGACTACTCCAGTCAAGACTTAACCATTATCCTGATATCCTCAAGGTTCCCCCCAAAATGCCAGGGACAATAGGAAGCAGCCTAGAGAAAACAATGCCAACATTCCCAAAAGATGGGTTATTGATGTTTGTCACCATTTAAGCGGGGTTGGTTACAAGTTGTGATTGGTCATAGTCAGGAGGAAAGCTAAACAAAAGAGTTAAATCAAAGATCTCTTTCTAAAAAAGGGGGGTGGATATAATACAGACATGATGAAATAAAAGGGTAGATTATTGAATCTACTTTAATCCAAAAAGCAACTATTAATCTTAAATATTTTACATTAGTATGGATTTTGGTTTATTGATACAAATTTAAAGCTATTTTTGTTATATTGTATGTGTGTTTCTACTCTTGTTTGGGTTTATGTGTTTATGCAGCTCATTAAAAATGTAATGTATAATTAAGAAATACAGATTTGTAGTCATTTATAGTAATCAAATTTGTAGTCTTATTAAGTATATTTTCAAGGTTAAACAGATATATTTAGATAGATAGGTGGTCTTCAAATACTTCAAAAACCTAAAGAGTATAACATTTAAAATGTTTTAATAATATAAAACTTTTCTTGACAGTAAGACACGTCCACTCCTAAAAGCACCAATTTACTTCAGAGAAGATGATAGACATCGAAGAAACTCCACATGGAGTTTGCTTTCTTTGTGTCAAAAAGCTAGCCACTGTGCAAAGAAACTGTCCCTGCCTCAACCGCTCAGAGTACACTGTCCAAACTGGACCAGCGGGATGCAAAACAAAGTGACTGCCAAACTCTTCCATGACAAGGCAGGACAATCCATCAAAATTCCCCACTTCTCAGAAATGTCTGTCAGATACACTAGGCCTGTATGTTAAAGATGGATATGCCAACATTACAGAGGAACTTTGGGTGACTGTCTAGGCAGCCAGATGTCTCTGCCATTAGGTAATATTATATCCTTCTATGGTCTTTGATGGAGTTAAAGACTAAATAGTTAGACTTAGTTTTCCTTAGTTATGATAAAAATGAATTAGGCATAAAACTTTAGACTCACAAATATAAGATAGATAATAGAGTATCTTCTCTAAATTTGCCAAATACAAAGGGACTGGATAGTGCAACTGAAATTCTTGCTTGTTAAAGCCTTCCTTTTTAATTATGCAAAAGGGGGAAATGCTGAAAAATAATCCTTTTGTATACTGTGAAGATGTTTTGCTCTCATTTTTTTTTTTGAGACAGGGTTTATTTGTAGTTTTTGGAGTCAGTCCTGGATCTTGCTCTTGTAGACCAGGCTGGCCTTGAACTCACTGAAATCTGCCTGCCTCTACCTCCCAAGTGCTGGGATTAAAGGCATGTGCCACCAAATAAAGAGCCAACTGGTCAATAAGTAGGTAGGAAGAGGTTAGGTGGGAGAGCCA